GGCGGAGGGAGAGAGGGTTATGGAACAGTGAAGGGTATGCGGCCAAAAAACGACGATGGCGATGGCGGATCGTTGAGATGGTGGTGGGTTTTGTGAGGTAGATTGCGGCCGCTTTGGAAGGGATAATGAACAGTAGGTTTTTGCTTTTTTTTCTCAATCTGAAACTTTCCCTCTTATAGCATGCTGAATCCTAAAACCTAATGGGCCGTTGAAATGGGCCTCTCATCTGGTTCACTCAAATTCCCTTTTTTTTAAAATTTTCTTTCCATTATTTTATTGACAATTTTTACTACATATTAACAAATATAATAACTATAAACTAAAATAAAATATTAACAACTATTTAAATACATAAATATTAATAAATATAAAATTAATAGATATTAACATATATATATATAAAACAAACTAAAGATTTACAAAATTTAATATTAACAAACAAAAGAGCAGTATATGTGCACAAAATATTATTATTAATAATATTTTAAAAAGAAAAAGTTTAGGAAATTAAGAAAAGAATTAACAAAAAGTATTAAGCCACGCGTCACACTTTAATTGATCAAAAAGATAAAGTTCTGAAAAATCAACCAATTGTGAGCGGACACGTGTCTAAATAACAAGAAAATAAGCGGGCAATGTAAAACATACAAGAATAAATAAAAATGAAAATATTTAAAAAAGGGTAGGACAAAATTAGGGTATGACAATGATCATGGGGAGCTTTCTGGTAGGTTTAAGATTGATTTAGATACAATTAAGTGAGTGACTCAATTTCTGTTCATGCTTGTATCTTGTTGTTCTTGGTGTTAAAATCATAATTTGATGGATAGAAATGTTCAGTGTAAAGTGGGGAAGAGATTGAGCCACTCAATTTCAAGATTGGTGAGTTTTGATCATGGACCAAATTCTGAGGTTTGATTCGTGTTTTGAGTTAGGTTATGGTTCGATGATTGTGGATGCCATAGTTAGATTCCTGGTGAAATTCTAAGTGGATTAAGGTTTTGAATTTTTGCATTTGATGGAGATTTGATGAGATACGATTGGGAGGAAGATGAAGTTCAAACTCTGTTCATCCATGGCTTTTCCCTCCATGAGAGTTCAGAGGAAGAAGACGATCTCTGCACCCTTAGATTAGAGGGAGACTTTGACTAGAATCAGCATCCAATGGCCACGATTTGTGTTCATTTGTGAAGGAATTCAGATTACTCAAAGCGCAGCGTTTCATTAAACGCTGATGCTGGGCTTAAGTGAGATTCATGATATCCACACCCCTTGTTCAAGGCCCACTAGGAAATGCACTAAATGGGATTGCTTCCTGCACCGAGTCTTTTCCATTTTCCTTTCCATTTTCACTTTATTTTCTGATTGCATATTGGGCCTAGCGCGCACTGCTATCCCCACCCCCTCTCTGGGCCCAGTTATTAAATGCATTGCTTTTTATTGCTATTTGACACGCATGTTTTCCATTTTTCATCATATTTCTTTTATTTTCACATTTATTTTAAGATCTCAGAAAATTCATAATAAATTCAAAAATAGGTCTTTTTATATAGGAGTTTTTTCTCCATTCTCATAATTGTCTCAAGAAAATTATAAAAAAAGAAAAAAATGTCATTCCATGCATTTTTCTATTTTTGGTTTATTTTTACATTTAGTTGCTTTTATTGCATTTTATTTTGTATATCCATTTTGCTGAATTTTGTTTAGCCATTTCATTTTACATTTTGATGTGATTCTTTTTTCTATAGTTAGATTAGAGTATTAGGTTCCCCCTGAATTTTTGTCACATTTTTTTGACTTAAATTTAATGGATTTTGAGAGGTGTGAAGCAAGTGTGCTATAATTAGGGTTTCAACTTGACCTAGGTGCATTCAACACATAGTTCTTAGGTTTTTAGTTTGATTTAGGCCTTGGGGTTTATGTGGGGTATAGGGTACATAGCTAGGGTCCCTTAGAAATTAATCTAGGATTTTATGATGAATATTTCCATTTTTATTTGATTTTTGCAAGTTGATTGATATTGGGGTGTTTCCCTCTTGGGAAGTTGCTGTGTTTGTTGAGTTTTGGGCTTTTTCTTTGGGTGTTGGGGCTTGTGCTTAGCTTGTGGAGCTAGTGAAGACCTTGAGGATGATTGAAGACAAATGATAATGCTTGGAGCTTGAAGTAGCTTGTGCTTGAAGATTGCTGGATGAAGACTTAGGAGATAGGAGATATAGGGAGAGCTCTAGAGTAGACTGATTTCTTCTGTCAAACATAGAGAGCTTCTTGTGCCTCTATTTCATCCTATAACACAAGGTCCCCTAAAAGAGTTCCATCTCTCCTTAGGAGGAATGTAGAGCATGCTTTGATTGGGTAGAATCTTGAGGATAACTTTCACTAGCTGTGTTAAGATCTTAGTGATTTCCCTGGGTTATCATTAAGCCTCTTAACATTTCAACTTCCTCTATTACTTGATTCTCTCCTGTGAGTTTGTTTGCATTGAATTTGAAGACCTATTGGGTATAATAAGTTCATTGATGACTGGATAAGATGAAGCTTGTACCTGTCAAAACTGGGTATCTGTTGAAAGCTAGGGTTTTGCTGAGGATTGAAGTTGTCTGTGCTTGCTAAAGTTGAAGATTATTGGAGATAAGAGCTTACCTGAAGCTTAAACCTCATCGAAGAGAAGATAGGATCTTTCCTAAAGTTGTTACTGTTAACCTTTTGTTGTTTATCAACTGTAGCTGCCAGAGCTGGTGCTATGTGAACTGCTTTCTGTAGGAGCAAGTGTGGCTGTCTGAGCTGGTTTAGGGTGTGGTTTTATTTGCTGTATTGTTTGGTGATTGGCCCTTAGGTTTGAGGTGGAGCTTGTCTCCTCTTGCCTATTGCTTTCACCCTTGCCTCTATTGTTCTGTCTCTTCTATCTCAGAACAATTCAAGACACAGTAATAAGGATAATCGACGTCGTACGCTACGAGCCTTAAGCTATTTGAGAAAGGTTGCTGGAGGGTCACTCTTCAGTAATCTGACTGTGTAGTGTGTTACCCTTAGGGTGACATACGACGTAGTCACCCTCAAATCATAGTCTCTAGTGCGTTCGAGATTGCAAACATCGTAAAAGACAGTTCTTGCGTAAGAGACTGAAAACAAACATCAAAATGTCATTTTTGTCCGCTTGGACTCTTAATCAGGAAAAACCCTTTCATAAGGAAATAAAAAACATTCAGACAAGCTTGTGTCTTCCGTAGCCCGAACTACGTTTGCTCTGATCTTTCATGCTGTATGAAAGTACGTAGGCATAGGATGCGATATCCTAGCGAGCAACCTTCCCCTTCTTTCCCGTAGGTAGGCGAACTACGTTGACTCTGATTTCTCGTTCCAGACGGGAATACGTAGGCATAAAGTGCGATACTTTGCCGAGTCATTTTCTTTTCTTTTAACCCCATACCTTTAGAGTAGATAGAATAACAATCCGTATTAGAAAACAAGCGTGGATCCCGTCGAGTACGACGGACGTGAGGGGTGCTAATACCTTCCCCTTGCGTAACCGACTCCCGAATCCAGGATTTGGTTGCGATGACCATTCCTTTTCCCGTCTTTGCGTGAGGTTTACTCTGAGCATTTCCTTTCCCTCCTTTGGGATAAATAACGCATGGTGGCGACTCTTCTGTTCAGCCGGCGCCGATTTTCGCAGTAGCGACACCACCCGTATGGACAGATCCACCCTTAGCAGATGCCCGATTTTTCTTATTCCTGGCAGCTTTGACCTTATACTCTGGTGTTTCCCATTTAATTTTGAGCCCTTTCCAAGCACCCTCTCCCATCCAAGATGGACGTTCTTGTTTCTTCCTTGCATCCATCAGAATCTCTGAGAGGCGCTTTGAGCCTTTGCTCTTAAAGATACTCTTGAGTTCAAACTCATCCTCAGGCCGCCAAGCAACTATTTTCTGCAACATTTTAATAATAGACAAATTAAGAAGCAACGGATTAGAAGACCAGGTCCAAACCTCAAAACCAGAAGAAAAAAAAGCATAGCCCAAACAATAATCACATTCTAATTATAAAAGTTTTTTTGTTCTTTAAATTATTGATACTTAATTTGTCTGTATCCGGAATTGAACTAACAATCTATTATCAAATAGGCCATTGCATAATAGGTTTTGTTCTATTTATATTTGTTTGATTTTTTTATTATTATTGCAGTTTAGTACATCTTGTGTCAATACTCTATGCATTTATATATTAGGGTCTTTACCCTTTATTATTAATATATATTGTTTGTCTCTTAAAAAAAGTCTTAGCCCAATAGTTAAATGTTGGATTATTTGTGAAATTTCAAATACTTCTTTAAGCCATTCCCGAAAATGTCTACACTAAAATTACATATGTAAAAACAGATACTCCTATATAGCATAGGAATACCAAACAAGGAATTTTTCTTTCCCATTTCATAACTTCTAGTAAAACCACCTGCACCAAAAGTTATACAATTCAACTCTCTACCAAAATTACTAACCTATTTAGTTATTATGTACAAATTAGAAGTACATAAATTAATAACTCTCTATCAATGACAGTAGAATAAAGTTGAAATAGTGGTGTCAAGAGTTGTTCGATACTTTGGTTTGGACAAGCAAATTAATAAAGTAGAATAAAGTACATAAATTAATAACTCTCTACAAAAATGACTAACATATTTAGTTATTATGTGTTAATCTTGTAATCTTGTTTGTGTGAAACTATAATAACTAGTTTACAAATGAAATTGGTTCGTTTACTAATGAAAGTACTTTTTTAATCTTATTACTTTATAGTTAAGTTAGCTATCCTAACTAAACAAATTATAAACAAATTAGAAGTACATAAATTAGCTATCCTATTTAGTTATTAATAACTCTCTATCAAAACTAAACAAATTATAAATAAATTAGAAGTACAGAAATTAGAAAAACTAAACAAATTAACAAACTTACCCCAAATTTCATGAACATCCTATTCACCCTTTTATCTGGTATCTCCCTCTAACTAATCCATGCCTTACGGAATTGTGACTCAATTACTTTGGTAAGGGCCCTCGAGGCCACCCTACACGGGTTCCACCTACATGCAAATTATAAACAAAATATTAAAATACATTATAGACACGTCAACATAAGTGATAAATTAACATAAAACAAATATGTACCCTCTCCCATATGGAAAAATATAGGGCCTCCCATCAGTTGTCTTATGAATCTCATGACAAGAGTGTCTTGATTCTTGCACCAGATCATCACTGGTTTGCACATGTAGCGAACCAGATTGAGTGTTTGGATCTGACATGTGTCGTGAACCTTGAGCTGATGAGGAAGGATCTCTGACATGTAAAGATGTTTCTATTGCCTCATGTGGCCTAAAATCTGGAGTTGCCACCATAGTTATAGGTGGATCTTTTGGATTCTCATTGTCTTGTATCTCCGCATCCACTTGTCCAGAATCATGTTGTTCCACTTCCACTTGTCTTTCATCTTGTTGCTCCACATCCATCTGCTCCACATCATGTTGTTCTAGTTCTAGATGCCTTGCATTATGTGCATTCTTGGCTGCTTGAGTCACCTTACGCGGTAAAACCATCTTCCTCTTCTGCTTTGGTGGGATCACCCTACCTTTTCCTTTTGGAGGCATCTGTAGAGAAAAAATAATATTTATTAACTTTTAAATACTAAAAATAACAAAGAACTAAAATATATGCACTAGCAACAATTTTATGCGATTATAATGAAAAAAGTAGTCATTATATACACATTTTACGATGATTCACAAGTGAAAGTATCAAAAATATTTTATATGGTTTAATCTTGAATTGCAAAACAAGTTGCTCTAGCTATTTTCTTCAACTCACTTTTGGAAGGTGTTGAAGATATGGATAATATGGTGTTAGTAACTTCATCATCGATATTATTATCTTCCCTATAATCATTATCTGCACTAGCATTAATTTGCATGCTAGAAATTAATGTAACATCAACTTCTTCATCACTATGTGTTTCATCGTGCAAGCCGGTTATGTCTTCAATTTCAGTTATTTGTTCAACGTGAGCCATCTCTTCATCTTGATAGGGTGTATCATCGTCAATGTCAACAACCTCTATACGACCTCTGGGCTTTGTCTTTATCACTGCACACCAACCACGTTTGTCTACACGCATTTCTGGGTAAGGTACATAATACACTTGTTTGGCCTTTTGTGAAATTATGAATGGATCATAACGATCATATTTTTTGTTCATCTTGATATCTACAATATCATAATGAGGATGAACTTTTGTTCCTCTACCTCGTTTTGGATCAAACCATTGACAGTAAAACAAGGCTACTTTGTGAGATAATTCATGATACTCCAACTCAAAGATATGTTTAATGGCTCCATAGAAATCATCTTCCCCACCTTCTGTAATCCCCTTCACATAAACCCCACTATTTATGGTCTTTTTACCTTGACTCCATGCTTGTGTGTGGAATTTGTACCCATTAATGAAGTATTTGTGCCAACTCATGGCATTTGATTCCGGACCCCAAGCTAATGATATTAGTTTTTTGTCTGTCATACCATTTCCCTCATTAGTGGCCTACACAAACATGAAATTCACAATAAAGATAAAGTGATTAATTTTTTTACAAGTTTGAATGACAACACTTACATACTCTCGAAACCATTCTGGGAATTCTCCATGTATAAGAGTTGAAGCTGAAGGATCCTCTTCATTGATGGACTTATTTTGCAAGAAAATACTGGCAATAAAGAGAGAATTGTTGTGATGTATGTATTGTAAATGTTTATTTTGTGTATATCTTTGTTTCGTTACTTACTTAATATATGGCTTAACCTCATTGCAATTAATGAGAATGTGTACATGAGAAGATCTCCATTCAGCATCAGTCAACCAATGTATTTGGGATTTTCCACTAGGACGTCCAAGAGGGTTGCTTATTGACAATGTTGGCACTACATCATCGTTCAGTCCTAACGCTTCATTACGTTTGCTTGTGGCAGATAAGGTGGTCGTTTTGAAATAGTGGGAACAAAAATATGTTGTCTCTCGGTGTAAATACGACATACATATTGAGCCTTCCACTCTAGCCTTATTCTTCACTAACCGCTTAAAATCTCCCATCATTCTTAAAAAAAATGAGTGTTAGATCTTCTATGAAATGTGAAAGATTTAAAATGAATAAATTAATAATTAGGAATGTATGCAAAATACCTTTCAAATGGATACATCCATCGATATTGTACAGGACCACCAAGTTATGCCTCATAGGGAAGGTGAATTGGAAGATGCTTCATAGAATCAAAGAATCCTGGTGGAAATATTCTTTCAAGTTTGCATATGATGACTGGAATGTTATCACCTAATTTAATCAATTCATCTTTTCTTAAGGTATTGTTGCATAATCCCTTAAAGAATTGACTTAACTCTGTAAGTGGTTTCCATACAAGATCGGGCAATGAACTAAATGCAAATGGAAGTAAACACTCCATAAACACATGACAATCATGACTTTTCATTCCGTGCACTTTCCCTTTATTGACATCCACACATCTAGCCAAATTTGAAGCATATCCATCTGGCATCTTAAGCTCCTTTATCCATTTACAAACTTTTTTTGCCTCATCAGAAGAAAGACAGTAATTTGCCTTAGGTTTTGTCATCTTTCCATTGTCGTGTTTAATCAACTCTAAGTCACTACGTTGACAAATGATGGCCAAGTCCATTCTAGCTTTTTCATTGTCCTTTGTCTTGTTCTTAATATTCATGACTGTATTAAACACATTATCGAAGAAATTTTTCTCAATGTGCATCACGTCTAGATTGTGCCTTAATAAATTGTCTTTCCAATATGGAAGATCCCAAAATATGCTTCGTTTAGACCAATTATGGCTTTCTCTATATCCTTTTAATTTAGAAACTCGATTGTCTACAAGTTCCCAAAGATCACGAACCCAACAATATATTTCTTCTCCTGTCAATATAGAAGGTGGCTCTTCCTTCACAACTTTATTTTTTGTGAACCTTTTCTTACTTCTTCGAAAGGCATGATTACGTGGTAAGAACCTACGGTGACAATCAAACCACGAATTTTTTCCACCATATTCTAGTGTAAAAGCCTTATTTCCATCCATACACACTGGACATGCCAATTTGCCTTGAGTACTCCACCCTGATAACATACCGTGAGCTGGAAAGTCATTAATTGTCCACATTAATGCTGCCTTCATTACAAAGTTTTGTTGAGTGGAGATATTATAAGTCAAAACCCCTTGATTCCACAAGTTCTGAAGCTCGTCTATTAATGGTTGTAAGTACACATCAATGTGAGCTTTTGGATTATGTGGTCCTGGTATGAGGCATGTTAAAAACATAAATGGTTTAGTCATGCACAATTCAGGGGGGAGATTATATGGTGTCACAATCACAGGCCAACAAGAATATGGGGATGAAGATGCCTGAATGTATGGTGTAAAACCATCAGAACATAAACCTAGCCTCACATTTCTTGGTTCATTCGCAAAGTCCGGATGCATCTCATCAAAATTCTTCCAAGATTTACCATCAGATGGATGACGTAAAACACATGAACTTGAATTATTATGATGATGCCATCTCATATCTTTTGCAGTTTCTATTGAGGCATACAATCTTTTTAACCTTGGAGTGATTGGCAAGTAGTGCATTCTCTTAACCGGAACGTCATTGTAATTACCCATCCCAGGCTTACGAGGAGCATATCGTGGTTCATGGCAAAACCCACACTCTCGATCTGCAATCGTATCTTTGTAGTACAACATGCACCCATTCACACAACAATCAATTTTCTGAGACTTCAAACCAAGCATGGACACCAACTTTTTTACTTGGTAGAATTTTTTTGGCAATGAATCCTTTGAAGGGCACACTTCTAGAAGCATGTTTGCAAATAAATCAATACATTTTTGAGGTACATTCCAATTTGTTTTACAAGCCATAAGCTTCACACATACTGAAAGTTTCGATTCAGAAGCACCCTCATATAATGGTTGGTTTGCAGAAGTTAGCAGATCATAAAATTCTTGAGCTTCCTTATTTGGTGGCTCTTCATGATTGTCTTCCATATTAACCTGTTCTCTATCAACCTCATATTCATCGACATTATCTTCATTAATCCCCCTTTCCTCACCAACCTCGTTCTCATTTCCCACATCCTCATTAACATTATATTCGTTATCGACATCCTTATCACCTTTGTTGCCCATACTTCGAAAATCATAATCAGGCCCTATTGCATCCTCGACCATATGTTGCATTAATTCAAAATGGTCTTCATTATCCACATGTCTACTACTAATTGGTACATTTGCTGAGTCAATACGTGGGGCTTTTTCACCGTGATCTGTCCAATACCAATAATTTGGTTGGAATCCATATTTATACAAGTGAAATCTAACGTCACCTTCGGACAATACCGGCACACACATGCACTTGTTACAAGGACATCTAATTCCACCATCGCGTTCAACATTAAGTTGCATTTTAGCCTTTTTAATGAACTCATCAACCCCGTTTACAAAGGTTAGTTTCAAACCCCCCCCCCCCTATGAGGATAATGCCTATCATATACCTAACTATGTTCTGGAGGGTAACGATCCATATACAATCACTTACTTTATCGATGACTTGAAGCTATCTAGACAGAAGAAATAAATTAAAAAATCAGCAATCTTATCTATAACTATATTTTAAAATCCAATTTCATCCACTACAAAAATTAACTGTGCAACATAACTTCCCACACTAAATTATATGCAGTTACCCAAATAAATAGTACAAGATAAGAGCATCTAACTACATATACCTCTAAAGTTATATACATACAAAACTAATTTTTATTTTGGATTGAGTGGTAGTATATGTCTAAACTAGAAGTAAATCTATCATATCGTATATGGTATACTACCATAAGCTCTCAGAACAATATGCAAGAGATGTCATTTATCCAACTAAAAGAGAAACAATACAAAGTTAAAGAAGCTAGATTTAGTTTACACATGCAACATTTTCTAAAAACATATTCCAGAAAAGAAAACCAAATCATCCATATATCACATAAACAATAGCCGACACACAGAAAAATATAAAATCCAATATGAATAAACATAAAACTTCTGAAATACCCTTCAAGCAAATCAGTAACTCAAAGCTCATTTAACAGATACAACATATTTTCTTTTGAATATTACCAACACCAAAACAGGTCGGTAAATTGAATGCTGTAAAAATTTCAAATTAAAATTGTCTTTAAAATCAAGTATATATATACACATAACAAAAATTTAGTTACCAGGGTGTGGTACTAGAACTCATGTCAATGTTCAAAAATAAGTTTGGACTAGAACTCATATAGCTGGAGGGGAGTTTGGACTTTGAATTATAAGTTTAGTCAGAAAAGGGTGAAAAGTGGTAATATACTTCCAAAATTTTACCCATGTGGTGGTGGACTGAATCTTTTCCAACTCTTATATTCCTTGAAAACTACTTGTACCTATTAATATATTTTTTCAGATTGTACCTATTAATATAGTTTTACAAGAACTTAAATCTCACTTATCCTATATACAACAGAGACTTCAGATGTTTGGATTGTTA